CCCTGCAAACTCCCCTCCAAGCTGCCCACCATCCTGACTTGGAAATAGATTGCTGTTCCTTCAGTGTCGCTGGGTTAAAATTCTGGAACTCCCTCCCTGAGGGCATTATAGGTCTATCTACAGCAGGTGGGCTACAGCAGTTCAAGAAGGCAGCTCACCACCACCTTCTCAAGGGCAGCTCGGGACAGGCAATAAAGGCTGGCCAGCCTGCGATGCCCACACCCTGTGAGTGAATAATAAGGAAAGCAAAATGTTTTGAGATGATTCAAGATTTTATGGTGTAGACAGAAACTACTCCCTTTGGTGGTGGTGGTGGAAGTGAGAGTAAGTCCAGAACAAGAAGCCAAATCTTAAAATTCAGGAAGTGTATCTTCACAAAAGTGGGAGTGGAATTGTGGACATCACTTATAGAGTCATACAGCACAGAAACAGACCCTTCGTTCCAACTCATCCGTGCTGACCAGATATCCTAAACTGATCCAGTCCCATTTGGCCCATATCCATCTAAACCCTTCCTATTCATGTACCCATCCAGATCGTTTAAATGTTATAATTGTCAACACTTGCTTTTGGCTGCTCATTCCATACAGACCCCACTGTCTGCGAGGAAAATGTTACTCCTCAGGTCCTTTTTAAATCTTGCCCCTCTCCCCTAAACCTATGCCGTCTAGTTTTGGACTCCCCCTCCCCACATCCTAGCAAAAAGACCTTGGCTATTCACCCTATCTATGTCCTATCCATGTTCAAAATGATATTTTTCTTGTTCACACTGAGACCCACTGTTCATTGTTTTGCCCATTCACCAAGTCTATTCCAATCTCTTTACAATATCATAAAGGGAATGGAGTATTCAATAAAGGAAGCCTGGCTAAAGCTAAACAAGGCACGAATCAGAACATAGCTGGAACACTGAACAGTTATGGGCCCTTTATCTAAGGAAAGATAGATCACCATTGGAGGCAGTTCAGAGAAGGTTCACACAGTTGATCCAGGCTATGGAGGGACTGCCTTATGAGGAAAGGTTGAGTGCATTGGGTCTGTACTCACTGGAGTTTAGAAGAATGAGAGGTGACCTCATTGAAATGTACAAGATTCTTTGGGAGTTTGACGGGAAGATGTGGAAAGTTTGTTTCTCCTTCTGGGAGAGTCTAGGCTAAGAGGGCATCATCTCAGAACAAGGAGTCACCTGTTTTAAGACAGAGAGAGGAGGAATTTCTCCTCTCTGAGGGTTCTGGGGAATTTTTATCACTAGCTCTAATTCTAACCCTATCGAAGGTGTGTTGAGGCTGCGTTGTTAAATATATTCAAGGCTGAGATAGACAGGTGCTTAATCAGTAAGGGGAATCAAGGGTTATAGGGATAAGGGAGAAAAGTGGAGATGAGGATTATCAGATCAGCCATAATCCCATTGAATGGCGGAGCAGATTCGATGGGCTGAATGGTTTACTCCTGCTCCTCAGTCTTAAGGTCTGTGTAACATCCTGTCCTTGTGTCATTGGAAAATATGGCTACGTTGCTCTTTATCCCATTGTTACTGCGCTGACCCTCAATACTCTCTATGCCTGCCCACAATGGTTGCCCCTCAATACCCTGGCAATACCTGTTGACACTTGGCACACTCAATGTGCTAACCCTATGCCAATGATGGCCCACATTTTTCTGACTGAGTAGCTGTGCTGACTGTAAACTGTTGGACACTGTTGGTGAGCTTGAGCTGATCACTCTCAGAGTAACGTGGAGAAGGAGTGACAGTCTTGTGGCCTGCTTTGTTTTCCAGACTGCAGGAAACGCAGTGAAGCGGGCGTCTGACAATCTGGTCCGAGCTGCTCAGAAGGCCGCGTTCAACAAACCGGATGAGGAGAACGTTGTGGTGAAAACACGATTTGTTGGAGGAATTGCTCAGGTTTGCTCTCCTTGTTCTTGGGTGGGTTTCTGAGTAACGTCGGTCTTTATTCTCTCCTGGCACCTTGGAAGACCCACTATCTGTTTGAAGTGTAGAAGGGAAGAGTTTACTCATGTGTCCAGTCTGGCAAAACTTCCACTTGAAAATTCTCTTCCTTGTGGTTAAATGTCTCCATGGTCTCACTGTTCACCGTCTCTATAACCTCCTTCCAACTCCACCGCTCCCAATGATATCTGCCTTTTCCACATCCTCAATGCCAATCACTATCTACCTTTCATTCCTTTCACAGCCTGGCGACCATATTCCCGAAACAAACCTCTTCCTCTGACTCCTTTTAGATCCTCATAGGCGTAGGCCATTCAGCCCCTCAAGCCTGTTCTGCCATTTGATGAGATATTTGCTGTGGCCTAACTCCATATTCTTGCCACTCCTTAAAACCCACTTCTTGGTCAGCTCTCGGTATATGCTGTCATTAAGTAGCTCAGCACCACATTCTGCCTTGTGAAGCATTTTACTTACAGGCACTGCAGGAAACTGTGTGGGGTACAGGTACTGGATACTCTTCGAGTTCCAGGTTTTGTATGTATTGCTGGAAACAGCGACATGTCGAAACAGCTGCTCACACCAAGAAGACAAAATGAGAGAGACATTGAGTTGCTAAAATCTTGCCTGCCATTATCTCTGTCTCAGACCCACTTCCCGATCTAAGCTCCATATCCTTTGCTCAAATCAACCACCAAACATTTTCGCTTTTCAGTATTAATTGTATCATTCATACCTTCACCTCCACACTCTACTGTCTGTGGGACTCTGTCCGGGTGCTAGATAAGATTATATCAGTTGTAAAATGGTTTTCTAAGCTAAGGACCTACATTCATTCATTCTTTCCCCATTGAGCAGCTGCACTTTGCTTTTAACATACTCCTTTTTAGTTTCAGATCTGCTCTGTCGCCTCTCAACGCCCCCATCTCTGTAACCTCCTCCAGACCACAACATCCCCCCATCTCTATAACGTCCTCCAGACCACAACAACCACCCCCATCTCTATAACCTCCTCCAGACCACCCACCACCCACCCATTTCTGTAGGCTCCTGCAGACCACCCCCCCCCATCTCTATAACCTCCTCTAACCCCTATACCCGTCCCTATCGGTGTGATCTCCTCCAGCCCCCACGGCCCTCCCTTTCTCTGCAACCTCCTCCAGCACCCCCCCCCCCCCCCCCTATCTCTGCAACCTCCCCCAGCCCCCCCACCCCTCCCTATCTCTGCAACCTCCTCCAGCTCCCCCACCCCTCCCTATCTCTGTAACCTCCTCCAGCCCCCGCGCTCCTCCCCATCTCTGTAACCTCATCCAGCCCCTACGCCCCTCCCTATCTCTGTAACCTCCTCCAGCCCCCATGCTCCTCCCTTTCTCTGTAACCTCCTCCAGCCCCTACACCCCTCCCTATCCCTGTCACATCCTCCAGCCCCTACACCCCTCCCTAACTCTGTAACATCGTCCAGACCACTACACCCCTCCCTATCGGTGTGACCTTCATCAGCCCCTATATCCCTTCCTACCTCTGTTATTTCTCCAGTCCCCTACACCCACTCTCTATCTCTGTAACCTCCTCCAGCCCCCACGCTCCTCCCTTTCTGTGTAACCTCCTCCAGCCTCTATGCCCCTCCCTAACTCTGTAACCTCCTCCAGCCCTGACATGCCTCTCTGTCTCTGTAACAACCTCCAGACCACTACACCCCGTCCCTATCTCTGTAACTTCCACTGGCCCCTACACCCCCTCCCTATCTCTGTCACCTCTACTGGCCACTAAAC